GCTGGCGGCTGGGGTGAGTCTGTTCCCCATTCAGAACTGGGGAGATCGTGTTAAGATCATTGCTCCCAGAGCACAAGGACCTACCCAGAGCCCAGCCACACTAGGCTGCACTCACCTGGCAGGTTTCAGGCCAGCCCAGGATACGTCCAGTGACCTTCTCTGGAACCAGGAACTGGGAAACTCAGCTGGCAGCTGGGGTGAGTTCACATGCCATCCCGAGCCTGGGAAACTGTGTTAGGATCATTGCTCCCAGAACTCAAGGAGCCGCCCAGAGCCCAGCCGCTCTAGACTCACCTTGGAAGGTTTTACAGCCTGAGTAGATTACTCCCGTGACCTTTTTCAATTACGGGAGTGGAGAGCAGGTAAAGTGAGTTTCAGGGCATTGGTCTTTGCCCGGGGAGAACTTTAGCCCATCATCCACAGTGGGTAGGTGGCTGCCCAGCTACCAGGAACACTTAAGGTAGCACAGGAGGGCCTGAGGGCCTGACTGGACCATGCTCAGCAGCTTCCATTCAGTCCCAGGAGCCTAGGGCATAGGAGATGATTTCCAACACATCCAGGGGAAGCTTTAGAAAAACACATGAAACACAGAAATACAGGAAAATGACAAAACAAAAGACCAAAATGCAATCTCAAACCTCCAGCCCATCCCAAGAAATCCTAGGATCCATGTACATAGAAGAAAATATATGCCATACAACTGAAATACCTGTAATAATAGCAACTGAAATAAAGAAGCAGCTCCTGGAAGCTTTAAAGGAATTCAAACTAGAAATAATCTCCCAGGTAAAAGAAGAAATGATAAAAGAAAAGAAAGAGATGCTGAACACATCTAAAGAACACACAGTTAAAAAATTAGAGGAACAAAACAAAAAGATAGAATCCCTGGATGAATAATTTAAGAAACAAACAGGATACGTGAAGCAGATTCAAAGAGATATACAGGAAATCAAAAATTCCATTGAAAGTTGTCAAAACTGACTCAACGAAAGTGAAGATAGAATTTCAGACCTCAAAGACAAGATTGCAGCTAGTGAACAAGAAAGGAAAGATCTTTTAAAAATAACAAGGAATTCCTGGTACCAGTAAAAATGAAAAAGACAAAAAAAAAACAAAAGGAATCAGGAAATAGCAATTCAATAACTGCAAGATGATGCAAAGAAAAACAACATAAGATTAATAGGGATAAATGAAAAAGAAGGAACAGCACAAATGATATCAAAAGGCTATACACAGAACTCATAGCTGAAAATTTCCCAAACATGAGAATGGAAACTGACATTAGGATTAGTGAAACATATAGAACTCCAAATAGCCATAACCAAAATAAAGCTACAACCAGGCATTTAATAATCACCATCCGAGAAATCAAACATAAGAATAGAATACTAAAAGCTGTCAGAGAAAAGACAGATTGGCTATAAAGGAAAGTCTATCAGAATCATAGCAGACTTCTCAACACAAACAATGAAGTCAAGAAGAGCATGGAGTAAAGTATTTCAGATCCTAAAGGAAAATGATTTCCAACCTAGGCTGATTATCCTGCAAAACTGTCCTTCAAAATGGATGGAGAAATAAGATACTTCCATGACAAAGAACAGCTGAAGAACTTCATGATCACCAAGCCAACCCTGCAAAGAAGAATACTGAAAGACAGTTTAGATACACAAAGGAAAAAACCACTAAGCAAAGCAGACAATTAAACAGAACAGAAAGATAAAGATGCAACAGCAGAAAGATAACATGTCAACAATAAGCCAACATATAAGTTATAACCATTAATGTAAATGGACTCAATGCACCAATTAAAAGAAACAGACTGGCAGAATGGATCAAGAAACAAAATCCAACCATATGCTGTTTACAAGAAACTCATCTAACCCAAAAGGATACTCACAGACTAAAGGTCAAAGGATGGAAAACAATATATCATGCAACAGGAACCCCCAAAAAAAGCAGGAGTAGCTATTTTGTTTGCAGACAATGTGAACTTCAAACCAATAATGATCAGAAGAGATAAAGAAGGTCATTACATACTGGTTTGGGAAAAACTTCAAGAGGAAAAAATAACTATCTTAAATATATATGCACTGAATTCCAGAGCACCCAGTTATATAAAACAAGTATTAACAGAAATGAAAAACCAAATTAGCAGTAACACAATTATAACAGGAAACCTTAACACACCATTGACACCAAGGGACCCATCAACCAAACAAATCAGCAAAGAAATAACAGAACTGAATCACACCTATAAACAAATGGACTTGATAGACATATACAGAGTGTTGTACCCAACAACATCAGAATACACATTCTTCTCAGCAGTACATGGGTCATTCTCTAAAATAGACCATATATTAGCTCACAGAGCATATTTAAGTAAGTGCAAAAAAGTTGAAATTATCCCTTGCATGCTATTAGATCATAGTGCCATAAAATTAGAAATGAATGATAAAAGATACTGCAAAAATCCTACAAACACATGGAAACTGAATTACACACTCGTGAGTAATCACTGGGTCACAGGGGAAAATTAAAGAGGAAACTAAACAATACCTGCAAGCAAATGAAAATACAAATACAACTTATCGGAATCTGTGGGATGCAATGAAAGCTGTCCTCAGAGAAAAATTTATTGCACTTAATTCCCATATCAGGAAAACAGAACGAATACAAATAAGCAACCTGATGTAACATCTCAAACATCTAGAAAAAGAAGAGCAAGTCAAGCGCAAAGCCAAAAGAAGAGAGGAAATTATAAAAATCAGAGCAGAAATTAATGCAATAGAGACTAAAAAAACAATCCAAAGAATCAAAGAATCAAAAAGTTGGTTCTTTGAAAGATAAAATAAAATTGAAAGAATAAATAAAATTGATAAGCCCCTTTTAAATAAACCTTATTTTAAAAAGGGGAAGAAAAAGCTTAAATTCATGCAATAAGGAATGAAAACTCACATGTATAAATATCAAATACTTTCCCTAGTTTAAGAAATGGTAAGAATACATAAAAGTATGTGGTAATCATGATTCCCCATTATATTGCTTTGAAGCCTTATAATGTTTTCATTCATTAGTTGGGGTTTTATTCTGGGTCGTTTGATTTTATTGTCTGTGATGGTATGAACAGGTATTCTGAAGAAAACAAAACATAATAATAGCTAGTGCTGATTTAGTATCATATTGTTTTGACGTCTCACCAAGCTTTTGTTCTTCTGTCTCAATCGGTTTTATCATGTTATATCTTATTGGATTTTATTATATGTAATAGTATAAACAAATTTTTTATGGACAAGGAGATAATATATTAACCATTGTTGGTTTTCTGTTAGTTGGTTCTGAATACCCTGTAATGCTTTCATTCTTTTGAATGGTTTTACACTGTCATGGTATGTTTGATATATAGTGTATGAAGGTATACTCAAATATTTCGAGGAAAGAGACACTATGATAGCTACTGTTATGTCAGGTTGTCTTGTGGGGAAACACTATGTTGCTTAAATTGTTCTGTTGTGAGTTGTTTTGTTATGTCCTATTTTATTTAATATTTTTTAAAATAAAAAAAATATAATTTGTGTTGTGGGGAAAAATATATTACAGATTTTTCTTCAAGTCATGGAATTATTTGCATGATTTGGTTGCTTTTCTCCTTAAACATAATGACTTATCTATGGTGTGGATATAAAGAGAGGCCAGAAATGTTGACTTCTGCCATATAGAAAATCAGAGATCATGGGCAGGTTTTGTCCAATATCTTCCCTACATCTTTGTCCTTCAGTTGAACTTTTTTTTACAACTATGTTCCTCTCTGTTTCTGCCTACGCTTGTAGCCATGAATGGCAGACTTAATAGGAGAGGCACCAGGTTCTCTGCAAGGAGAATCCTCTCCTGTGGGGTAAAGCCAGATAGAAAAGATACAAGACAAAGCAAACTGTTGTCAAGTAACTGTGACTGAAGTGCATAGCAAGACTGGTTTGCACTCAGGTCTGTCCTCTGCCTCTGAGGTTTGGTGTTCATTGAGAGAGTTTGGCTGTCACAGAATAAAGGCACTAATACGAGATGCAGGTAAGACAGGGAAATTAATCAAAAAAGGATTTCATATGAATGATACACCTCAAACCAAAGCCATACAAAAAAATGGAAACATACTACATTGCTAACAAACAAATGAATGAATGATGAAGGAATGTAACAATATGAATGAATGAGCACACAAACTAACAAATCTATGGATGAATGAGAAAGGGGTTGCAGGCTTTGGGAAGCTGACAGGAAATAACATTCTTGGTTGTAGAAATGTAAAATCAAGGTTTGCTATGGAAACAAGGCCCAAGTGAAGGAAGCGGGGAATAGGCTAGCAGCACAGAGGTACAAGTCCACCTGCATGGCCAAGTGCAGTGCAAGGAATGGGATGTATTAGTCTCAGACTCCTCATTCCCTTCAAGGAACACTCAAGGAACTTCACCCTGCTTTGCAATCACCATGCTCAAAGAGCTCCTGAGTCCTCTTCCTTTGCTTGTTGAAAGAAGACATAATTTAATTAACCATACACACTCTAATTGCTTGAAAACAACTAACACTGCTCTACCTGGAGGTAACTTAAGACCACTGGGATCTGAGGTCTACACAAGATACATGATGACGGGTGGGTATTAGTAGTTGACATTGATCATACAATACACACACGATAGATAACTATGCTACAGACAATTTCAAAGACACTTGGAAGCACTCCGTAGAAGGAGAGCATGTAGAAGCAGCTGGGACACATAGTGTCTCCTGGGACATCACCAGCCTAGAGCTCACTTAACCTTGGAGGTACCTCTCTAAGTATCCTGTATTCACTCCAACCAATCACATCTTCTGGTTGGGAGTCTGACTCCCTTATTGGCTGCCTCAGGCCTTCAACTGCCTGCTTTGTGACATCATCCAACTAGCAGAGCTACCATTGGTTGGGCAAAGTTGTGGTTTCCAGGGAGTTGTCCCAAGGAAGTACTGGAATGAACAGCGAACAGTGCTCTTCCTACTGGACAATTGTACACTTTGGATTCAGCCTCCCAGATATCCTTCAATACCCTTTCCTTATCCTTTGCCTCACTACTTGCTTTACCCTTTCTCTGACTATGTCAGGTAAGCACACCGCAATTCCCAGGTCTCTGACATTACACATTACTTCCTACCCCAAATAAGTTGCTTAGTGGGGATCAATTACCTTGGAAGACTGGAGGATGTTCTTGAACAGGAAATCTAAATATGTACTTTGACTCAAGATTTGAATATGTATAGAAATGTGACTTAGGACACATGATTTACCTGTGCCAAAAAAAATGTTTGTTAATCTGTTCTTGGATCTAACTTAGTTCCTATGCTCTGTTACCTTTCTTTATTAATGTGGAATATTATAGGCCACAGGAAAAGAAAATTAACCAAAGCCATGTTAAGTGTGACAGTTTCAACAGAAAGTGACAACACCACAGTCAGAAAACACAACTCTGGGTCAAGGTAGTTCACCACTGACAGTGTCCCTACACTAGGGCTTCCACCTCTGCAGTGATGATGGCTGTTCACATGTTACAGAGGTATCAATCCGAAGTGGGTGAAAACACAGCGAGACTCCAAGGCACTAGGACTGTGCTAGATCCAGACAGATACTTTAGGAGAAGACATTTATTAGGGATTCCAAGAAGCAGAAGTCAACAGAAACTGTGTAGGCCAGGGTGATTGGGGTGGAAGACAGTATACAGAATGAGAAGGAAGCACAAAAATAAAAAAGTGAGGAAGGGCATGGGGATGTTCGCCGCAAAGGAATATCCTCTGTGGATGAGGATGAGAGGGAAACTTCACGGAGAACAAGGAATTCAGCAGACCACAGAATGAACACACAGAGCAGTCTCCTCATACAAGGGCAAAGAGAGGCTGCGTGCACAGCAAACTTCCTTGGAAGGTGTGAGTGGGAAAGTGAGTCTGGAATAGGATTTTCCTTGGAGAATGAGCCTTATCAGAAGTGCCACCTTCTTTGGACTATTGTTCCCAATTGCTCCTTCCACCACAGAGGCCACTTCAAAATACTTGAGAGTGAATATTTTCAAAGTGTGGCACATAATTCTTCCTATATATGCGATAAGTAATGTCACCATCCAGAGGGCCAGAAAAATAGTGTTGAGCATTCCATTTCATGTTGAGTTTTTGCTAAATAAGTTTTATAAAATGATGTTTACTACTACTTGTGTCTCAGAAAGACAGCTTGCTCTGTGTGCTGAGTAAATTTTGGATCAGAAGTGATCATCACCTTTATAACAGTTTACTCTCTAAAGCAGATTGCACCCTTGGTATCAACATCATTCACTAATGTTCATGCTCAAGAACCGTTTTCACACAGGAGAAGTAAAACAATTAGTTGGTTGCAATTAAAAAGAAAACGACAAGCTCCACTTCTTTCATTGGAGATTCATCTAAATCAATTTTGGGTGCTGCTGTGATATCCCCTACTTTTCAATGAATTGTTTCAGTTCCTGTTCTTCCAGGTACAGAGGAGGCTGAGGCATAATCATTGTAAGTAAAAACCCATGTGGGCAAACGACAAAACGTAAGAGAAAAGGAAAGGAAGACCTGGGGATTCAGATGAGTGACAGTGTCCCAGGCTTCAGTTACAGACTCTTAAAGGGGAAACAAAACAAAAGAAATGAAAAACAAATAAAGAAAATTCTAAGGATGGTACTAAGCAATGTATTATGAACATAAAGTAAAAAAGAGCCCACAGTAATCTGTCCAAAGTAAATGAAATTATAATATATATATATATATATATATATATATATATATATATAATTTGACTTGTAGTCTAACAGTGACAAGTGACAGTTTTTTCCCTCCTTCTCTCTGTCTTGCACTTCTGCTTCTTTTATTCCTCCACCTCCTCCTCCTCTGTCTCAGTCTCCTTCTCCTCTTTTGTCTTTCTTTTCTTGGTATCAGCAGTTAAATTCAGGAACATGTGCTTGCCACATAGGTGCTGTGCCACCTAGCTTCATACATGGCCCAGTGACAGTTTTCTTTCTAGGAGTGGAACACATCCTGATTGCTAAAAAAGACTGTTTATAGTAAGATGGGGAGAAAAATGGGAACTTTCATGATTCTCTTTCATTGTGCCCTTCCCCAGTGACAATACCCACTGTGAAATCTGGCTCTTGGGATGAGTATTTATTCCTAGGTGGTTGATTACTGAAACAACAGGGCATGAGCAGAATCATGGAATTCACTCATACTTGCTTTTTTACTCCATGCTGTGCTGGCTTCTTCTTTCTTTACTTTTGTTTTTGTTCTTATTTTCTTTTGCTTTTGCCTTCTTTCACTGTTTGTTTCTGAGATAAGGTCTTTATTTGTTAACCAGACAGGGTTTCAAATAAAATTGTAAACTGGTGATTTCTTCCTGAGAGCTGGCAACAGAGGCCAAGTACCACCACAGATAATGTACCACTCTCAACCACCTTGTGACTGGATTTAAAATGCATAAACTATGACTTCTGAGATGGATACATAATCCTTATTTGAGGCCTGTTGCACACTTTTCACAGAAAAAGTTTCCATGCTCACATTTGCTCAGGACCACTGCACTCAAAAAGTATTCCGAGGAGGGACTAACTTTGGTTCATCAGGTTTCCTACAACAAGGAAATCACATTTATTTTGCTGATGTAGCAGTATAACAGCACTTTCTCTATAGATCCACTATTCTTTCTCACTTGCCAACAAACTAGCAAATGAACTATGCTGTGACTCTGGTACCACACTTTTTATTATGTTCCATACACTTCTTTCTCTCTGTGATGCTATGGTTCTTCATTTAACTCTTTCTAAATCTGCAGAGCCTCCCTTATATTCCTCCATGCAAATCCTGGGTTCTATATCGCTTTCAAGCATGAGTGAACAGTCACTGTGTTTTGTTTAGAACCAATTTGAAGATGAGTAACTAGTATGTCGGGCAGATTAAAATACATTTTTCTTCTCTACGCAATTTCTTGAGAAAATGATCCTCAGGTACTCATGCAGATATAATGTCAGAAGCTAGGTGTGAAGAAGGGAAGGATAGAGTTCTGCAATTTACCAAGCACCTAGGGAAATACATGAGCCACGGGAGAAAGGGAGGGTCCTGCATCTGCACAATCAGGCACCAAAGAAAACAAGCTTAAGAGCCATTCTGTCTCCAAGCATGTGAGTAACAAAATCCCTACAAAGAGTTTCTTTCCAACTCCTTTGTGGCCTTTGTTCCCCTGACAGGGAGTCAGGGTCTGTAACCTGATCCTGTAAATGTCCTCACTCAACACCATTAAGATTACAAATGCTCTTAAAGATCTCTGAAGTGGGAAAGATTTCAAACCCAACTCTCAGGGTTATAAGTCAGGGTGTGTGCAGACTCCAGGGCAATCAAGGACAGATCAGGGTAAGGAAAAGGAAGTGGCTTAGGACCATTGAGCACCTGTGAGTGGGATATGTGGGGTCTTCCGAGACCCAGATGGCAGATACATAACTTATGAGAAGCTTGAGACCACTGCAGCCAGCTGGGGCACAGGAATGTCTCTCATTGTTGGCCTAAGACTGAAGACTGTACCACAGGCATTCCAGGTACAAGGACCTTAGGACAGGTAATAGTGATGCTCAACCACACTGAGAATTTGTCAGTCTCACCCATGTTTTCGTGGCCTTCTTGCTTCCTGCAGAACATTTCCAAATTCCACCATCTACTGGGACCTCCAGTGCTCAGCAGCTCTCACCTTGCATCGTGAGCAATGCTGCTTCTTTACCAAGTGCCTACAGCTCCAGCGGAGTAACACCTCCAGGCCTCAGTTCAGCAAGGCTCCTGCCCTCCACCTCTGCCACCTACTTCCAGCCAGTCATGGCCAGTACCTACATTTACCAACACTGTAGCACAAGTAGGTTTGCAGGGGTCTCTGGCCAGAGCCAGCTGTCCACTTCAGCTTTGCCATACCCAAGCCTTTGGCAGTGGGATCAGAGGGCAAGCTCTGCATACAGATATCCACCCCTCCATAACACTGCCATGACTGTCACTGAGCAGAGCAGGGTAGTGGCCTCAACACCCATGCCTGCCTGTGCCGCTGCCATGATCCCAGTATATCCATCTGCCAGCCTGGTTCCTGCAACACTACCAGCACACATGGCAAGTCAAGGACACGGCCACTACTACAGTCAGGGTGCCACGGGGCCTCTGCTGTCTGCAGAGGATGGAGCACCGTACCCATATGAGTGGGTGCCACACACAGGCAGTGGGGCCTTTGGGCCTCAGCAGCACATTGTGATGGTGCTGAAGGAGATCCAGCACACAAAGATAACATCGACCTCTGCTTCTCCAACCATGTACAATTCAGACTCTACGCAAGCAAGCACTGAAATGTGTTTTCCAGGTAGGTACTGACAGCAAGAAGGAAAATCAATGTGGTTAGCACACTAAAGAGGGTTGAATCAGCACCTTAATCCTTCTAAGTAAAGGGACAGACAGAATTTCTGTGCTGAGTCTTCACTATCTTTACAAAGCTCACTCCACTGCTAAGCTCTGCATGTAGGGAATGCAGGACACTGTAATGTCCATCCCTGCTGCATTGAGGAGAACTCCAGTTGCCCACAATTTTATGTTGGTAAGGACAGTCATTTTCCAATATTTGCACCAGGAAATATGGTATTTCATAGACCCTGTCCAACTCATGTGCCCTGGTGCCTGTCTTGCTTAAATTGAGAACATGAAATCTTTGTCTCTCTTGCTCCATGGTAGAAGTGCTCTTTGCAAGAAAGAGAGGAGAAGGGACTGGGTGAATCTGATAGCTACAATTGATCATCTTTATCACTGACTGTGAATATGTGAGGCTTTTTGCACATCTGTGTAAGTGTGTTTGTGTGTACGCATTTTTGCTGAGAGTGAGTGTGCATACTCTACTTGTCATGGAGCCCAGGGACTTGTTCCTCATAAGAAATAACCTACCACTGTACTCCAATCATTTTGTGCTTTGAAAACCACTTTCCCGTTCCTTTAAAACAGAACAACACTAGAAATTATGTTAGGAAAAACAAACATGGGGTGAATAGCAGGAAGAAGGATAACACATACCTCTTAGCTACAAACTAGTCCTGTCCATCATGATCAGAAAGAGCTCAAAGAAAGGTGGTGCTCCTCCTTGGGCTGCAGAAGGCTGCGCTGGTATAGACCTTTTTCATTGTTTCATTTGCAGTGAAGGAAACTTGCGCAGAGCAAGACAGATCCCTGGGATCAGAAGATCAGGTCCAGGAAGTGGATGCTTCACAACTTCGAGAATTCATCCAGTCTTGCACAAGCAGCTCTACTCAGTTGCTTGAGGTAAGCCCAACAAGTGAGTTTGGTGATAATTCACAGAGAGTGACTCAAAGAACTCCATTCATCACATGAATTTGGATCGTACCTGGGACCTACCAGGGAGAAACATGGATAGTGTTAGAGGCAAGGATTCAAAGCCTATGAAAACCCACCTCATTTACACTGGTAATGAATACCTGCCTCTCTTCTCTTTACAGGTCCCTGAACCTCCAGGCCTGCTGGCTTCAACTGAGTTTCCAATCCCTGAACAGTTGGGGCATTTAGATGGCCTCGGGAGAAAACACCACCTGAGTCCTCAGCAAGCAGGGACCCTTGACAAGGGGATGGAGTGGAGTCCAGGGTGGGCAGATGTTGGGGCCCTAGTGGAGGACATTCAACTTCCTCAAGTGCTCCATCCCTTAGAAGATCTTGAGGACTCCAAACAGCCCACAGCCATGGAAGCCCATGATGATGGGGCCATGGATGTGAGTGGGGCACAAGAGAGTTCAGGGATGGAAAACTGTCCCTCTCCTCAAGGGAGGGAGAGTAAACATAAGGCCTCAGAGCCCATGGCTGTTGCCCCAGATGCTAAGATCCAGGTGAAGGAGGACAGCCAGTTAGGTGTCCCAGAAAGCCTTTGCAGTGTAGTGGCCAGTGAAAGGGCTTCTGAGAGCAATACACAGAAGGCACATAGAAAGTCCCCCAGAGGAGCATCAGGCAGGCCCAACCAAGATAAGGGTTGTGGGCAAGCTCGGGCCAAAAAGACCAACAGAAAGAAGGCAGCAGAGAGAAGGCAGCCAATACCCCAAATCAAGGCTGAAGACAAACCCAGTGCAAACAGGAAGCGCAAGAGACAGCCACCCGTGCTTGGCCAAGACTCCTTCAAAATGCCTCGTACCTGCCTCGGGATGCACATGCTAGAATCCGTGCAGGTTTTCCACCCATTAGGGAAGAAGCTAGATAAGAGAGCTGGGCCTATTTCCTCCCAGGCCCTGGGAACATACAATGTCACCAAAGATGCCAAGACTTCGCACGCCACCAAACCATGGCCAAGGGCCTCACATGTGGGAAAGGGGACTGAAAGAGCTAGGGACAACTCCCAGAACCTGCAGAAGCCTGGTCGAACAGAGGACTCAAATGCATCCCTGTGTGAGCGCCCGCCACCTGGGCAGGTGAAGTTAATACCTTTGCAGTTTCCCAGTCCTGTAAAGCCTCAGGAAAAGCCTGTCTCTAGAAGGCCACAGGCTTTTGCTTCAAGGAGACCCACTGTAGCTCACCATGCTGGACCTGCAGCTACTAGCACAGCTAACTCATCCCAAAGAGCTTGTGCAAACCCTTCTCTGATGTGCACTATCAAACCACCTCAGACAATGCCAAGTGGTACCTGCCCACCACAACTGACCACCTCCACCCAGCCTGGACTTCCTCAGTCTGCAAGGTGTAAGCCTCCATGCCAGATGACACCACTGATTGCCTCTCTCAGAAGGGAACCTGTTGCCTGTGCTGTGACCAAGCGCAGGTCCCCACCTCAGCAGCCAAACCCATTTCTCCTGGAAGACTTCAGTCGCCAACCGATTCCCTGGAGGGAACCCAACGTGCCTGAACCTGTCATGTCCAGCCCCATCACAGCGGAACAGAGGCCAGAGCGTGAGGCCATGAAGAGGCAGGCTCAGCGAGAGCGGGAGCTTGCGGCCCAGTACACATCCTTAGGGAAACTGCAATTCTTTAAGCAGAGAGAGACAGACAGGGAAATTGCCCAGTACTATGGGTATGCAAGATGAGAGGCAGCAGCAGAGTCCAGCCACCTTGGCCTCCAAATAGTTTCCCCCATGGTATGTAGATATAGATAAGTAAAAATTTGATGAATCTAATGTCATGCTGAGAGGGAACAGAATCACAAACACATAAGTCCTCAGCAGAGGAATTCAGTAGAGCCCATAGATAGGAAATAAAAGTCACCTTTTGAGTTCTGAGATGCTGCTGTTCATTCTGGTTTCCCTTGGCACAGTTAGAGATTAAAGGGTCCATCAAACTGAGGAACTTAACGCTGAATTGGGGAATATGGGCACACAGGTGAAGAAATGAGCAAAGAGAAGTAAGATTTGAGACAAAATGGCCAGAGAAGTGAGATCATAAATACATGAAAAGATCACGTTCTGGTAAAATTATAGGGGACAGTAAATCTTCAGTTGTAGTGAGAAGGACATGTTTGGGGTAAGGTCCAAGATGCCACAAGATGGGTATGAAAGTATCATATCCCCCCTTATGGAAATTAGCCTCCTGCCATGTGACTGAGCAGCCAGGCCCTCTGATGTAGCCTTCATCTCCAACATTCTTGGGTCATCTAAACCTACACAGGGAAAGTTGAAGGCCAAACTCTGGTGAAGGTACAAGGGGGCATTGCGTGGGTTCACAAAGGTCTTATGGACAGCAGCTAAATGAGCACCAGCAGCACAAGGCCCACCTAGAACCTGATCCAGAATAGAAATCAAGGCATCCAAATTCTCCTTGGTCCAAAGTTGCAGAGGTGCATACTTAGCTAACTGCAAACACACCAGTTCAGTTTCACTGTGTCCCTTTTTAAGCCAGTCTACCAGTGGTGTCTTATTTCTCTACCTTCAGAGCCAGTAAGGTATCACTTTGGGCCTAGAGCCCCCTGATATCCTCACAGAGTGTGCGAGTGCCAACACTCATGTGTTCAACCTCAATTCCAAGGCCCTGCTTCCACATGTTTATAAGATGAAACTTTGAAGTTGGAAATCTAGAATCCAGTTCAGGCCTACTTTTCTGAGATCTGACATGTCCCACCTTCTGAAATGGCAGCCATCAGAATTGGATAGTAAAGATATTCAGACTCAGTTTCAGGGCAGAAGAGCACAGTAACATCCTCAGGCAGCTCAGGATGCAAGCATCAGCCTTGCAGGTGTGTTTCTTTAGAATGCTGGAAGACTGGGACAAAATCATAATTTGGGGGTGGAGCTGATGGGTGGGAATTGGGGGACAGGAATGGAAAGGAATGGGTCATCTGCTTGAGGGCAAAGGACCCACACTATGGAATTCTACTAATTTAGATTTTGAAAATACAGTCTTCAGCAGGAATTCTCCATATGAAATTCACTTAAAATGCAGTCCACTGGCATTCACTCTACCATGCAGTTTGTAGCATTTTCATCATCTCAAGGGGAAACACTTGTAACCCATTCCCACTCTCAACCACAAACCTCTCTACATGTTCCTACCTGCACACTGTCCACACCTAGAATCACACAACTACGCACAGGGCTGGTCTGGAGTCTTTCCTCAATAGCCTATTTTCTGGGATTGTCTCCATTTTGGGCACCACCTGCCTAAATTTTCACCCAATTAATAGATTAGGCTATAGACAATATTAAGTATTTTTCATGGTTGAATGATAGTGACTCGGGAGTTGGGTCCTGAGCTCAACTAACTGAGACTTCCAAAATCACAGCCTCTCATTGTAGAAGAATCACAGATACCAAAGTATATTTAAATAAAATGGACTGTTCATACTTTACCAACTTCCCAGCTATGATCTTCACAGCTCTCTAGGGCACATACACTTTGGACACTTAATCCATTCTGCTAGAGTAACTGTAGACTCATACCACCATGTGCACCTGCACAACTGATGTAAAAGTTTAACCACTTATTGAAAGCTAAAATTCACTTGAGCATTTTTGTTAATATTACAGATATAGTGAGGGACCCTTCATATTTCCTGTTTCTTTGAAATCCTTTTCATCAATTTTGGGAGTGAGTATGCCCCAGAGCAATCCATGTAGGCATCCCTGAAAGGGGACCACCCACAAAAGGATTCATCATCTAGATTCTATAACCCAAAGCCCAGCTCTACACACATTGTACTCATTAGGAATCAAGACTGGTTCACAACCATAGAACAAGTTATAGCATAAAATGGCTTCTAAGCCACCATGCTTCAGTTTGTTATTTGCACAGGTTACTTCCAGGTTATTTCAGTTCCCGGGATTTGTTTCCCAGAAACAGCTGGCCACTATGATGCAACAATGATTGTAAAAATCCATCCCGGTGTGACAAGCAACTTTGCCTCTGTACTTCACTTGCATAAAACAGTCACCACTGAGTGTTTGGGAAAGGTATTCTTTGGGAGTAATCCTAGTCAGTTCCATTAGTGTAAAAGAATCTGTTCATTGCTTCCAAACCTCCTGAGGCACTGCTTTCCCTGGTTGCTGTGTTGCTGCAACATTCAGGTTTACTGACAATGAATGGCTCCACAGGCTCTATAGGCCACCATTTGGGCCCAGCATGAGGCAGGTATCTCCAGTTTGTTCAATGGGAAATCTCTCCCTGGAGATATTTTTGGAGTCCCTTTGGAGGCTTGGATGTGAGGCCATTGCTTGATGCTATCATCCACAGGTCCAGGAAGAGGAAATGATGCAGTGGTGTCTTATCGATCAAATGACATAAGTTCCCCTGGAGCACCTTACTCACTCTGTCATTCCTGTTCACCTTAAGAAGGAGAGGTTGAGCACTACTCTTTTGTCAGGGCCACCTCCATGGGACAGGGATTGGAAAGCTTAACCTTTGAATGCCTGTTGAGTGAGTGTGTTGAATATTTGTGCTTCACAGTGAACTGCAGAGACCATTCAGTTTGCTGATTGGGCCCTAACTGCTGGTTTGGTGGATGTGTTAAAAAGGGCACAATGGAGACTCTAGTCATGAGCTCCTTCTTAGTGCAGATGGTCCCAACTTGCTAAGAGTCATATAGTCAGGCAGGCATCATTTCTGGTCTCCCTCACTGAGGGGTTCCTACACTTTGTTGTAGCTTCATTCAAAGGTACATCATACATATGTAAAGAGTCAAAAATAGGATCCAGCTAGTCAAATCCATAGTCTTTGATTGTAGACTCCAAAATTTTAGCAAGGACTTTAATGGTGACTATATATAGAGTTAAAAGGAAGCCAAACAGCTGCTCGGGCCATCTGAAAAGAGATCTGAGAATTCCACACTGACATATGCCAATGAAGCTCACACTGGGCCACCTCGACAACCAACTGAACCAGTTCTAGCCAATAGTATTGTGTAGCCCCAGGCAGCCAGTGTGTGGGTGCTGCCACAAGCCTAACTCTCTGAATCTTTTACTTTACAATTACACTTACATGCCTGTCTTGCTCAGATGTCATCACCTAATGAGTGTTTGGGACAGGGATTCTTTGGGAGTAATCCTAGTCAGATCCATTAGTGTAAAAGAATCTGTTCATTGCTTCCAAACCTCCTGAGGCACTGCTTTCCCTGGTTGCTGTGTTGCTGCGACATTCAACATGACCACCCGAGATGATGGTCAGCAATTCCTTCTGACTCTATTTAAGACAGAAACATTCTGACCAAGGAAAAAAGTGAACTCTCAATCCTGACAAGTGGGTTGCCTTTCCCAAAGTTGCCCTGCCCAGAAGCACAAAATCCAGCAATAGGAAACAAAACAACCCATCAAGTACTTCTCAAAGGCATCAAAGAGAGGAGAGAAAGCATATCAATATGTCAGAAGTTACTACAGTTACCCAGAAGGCCCTTATGGGACTTTCATGAGAGACTCTCTGAAGCTTATGAGTCCATAATTCTTGACCCTCAGGACCCTGAAAAAACACAGATTGTAGATGCAACCATTATTAAGCAATAAGCATCTGATGTCCACAAGAAAATTCAGTCTCAGACAGACCCACACCCTCTAGCCAATATGCAAGATGCGTGAATCCAGAGTAGGCTCTGTTCTTCAACTGGGTGAGCAGGATCCCACAGTCCATTATGGTCAACCTATGACTTTCCTGGCAGACAGCCAATCTATTGCCCCTTTGTCAGAAAAACATTATCACCACAGGGGCATCTGGACTTCTGGCCTCTCACATTTTCTGCTAGGAGCAAACATGCAATCCCAGGGGACATCTCACCAACTATGAATTCATGTGTATGCCAAAATGCTCCATACTGCTCTGGGAAGGGATATTCCCACCAAGGTCATACCAATCATCACCAAGACAGCTGTTACTCTGTTACCTGACAGGAAGCTTGCCTGAGTCAGAGACAAAAATCACAATCCTGAAATTTGAAAACCTTTCCTTTCAGAGGTATGAACCAAACACATAGGATTGAGCCTGGCAATAAACCATGCAGCCATATTAAGTCCTGCCACCATGACTCTCATTCCTGTCAGATAACACCCTACATCACGAGGAACATAGGAGGAATCCAACAACATGTCAGGGGCTTAAACAAGGTCAGGATCCCAGTAGACTGTCAACCAACTTGGAGTGTTCCTCTCCCCCAGTGAAGAAGCCCAGTGAAGATTCCAAGCCAGTGTATACTCTTAATGCAACACCATGGACTCTGCAATTCCAAACCTGTACTCTTCTGAGCCGGCTCTTCCAGGTGACACCTGATACACTTTCATGGATTTAAAAAAGACTCTCTGTTCTCTTCATGGGTTGGCACCTGTCAGACAGCCTCTCTCCACTTTTAAGTGGAAAGACCCCAGTTCTCAACTTCGAAGTTGACTGAGCTGCACTCAACTTTCCAGAGGGGCGAAAACCATCTTACCCTCTTTGGAGAAGCCCCCATAGATGAGTTTTCTAGTTTTCAGCACAATATCATTCTTGAAAAAACATAAAAGCTTTGCTAAAATATTTCAAATCAGGAACACTGTGCCCTTGGAGCTGAAAGAAATGAAATCATCTGCTCCATTCTGGTCTCAAATCAACAAAATCTTTGAAACTGCTGAATCTGCATCTCAGGGTTCAGAAAGAGCAAGGCCCATGTATGATGCCATGTGTGCAAAAGACTCTGATAGCATTTGAATGGAACTCAGAACAAGAAATGACTTCAATGATATTAAAAAGTCCTTCGTCACTGCCTCGACTTTGGGAATTTCAGATG